TTTGGTTGGTTGATTTGTTATTTGGATGTTTATTTGGTAGGCTGGTCAATTGTTTAGTTGGTTGGTTTGGTTGTTTGGTTGCTTGGCGGATTGTTATTTAATGCCGAAAACTAAATAATCTTAACACAATTTTATGGCTTCGACTAAATATATTTTGAACGCTATTGTATACTTTCAACTGTAGATAAGATGTACTGCTGGTTATTTTGCTTTAAAAATGTATTGTTGGTTATTTTTCATATGAGAATATATTGCTGGTAGTTTTACTACAAAAAACTTTTATAATTTCATAGTGTTTTGTTTGGGCGTTCACTATTATCCATGCCTAGGAACATAACATGTGCTACCACCCAGTTCAGGGTTGAACTGAGAACAACAATAATTAAAGGGTGGTTTCCCCCTTCCTCAAAATCTTCACTCTCCTGATCTGACGCCTTGCTGCCGAATGTAGTTTATCGTCATACCCAAGACTTATCAATAAAGTTAATTTCGATTGTTTAATTTTCTTTTCAATTTTTAATTTTATCTCATGAGTAAAACGAAATTATTCAAGTTACCAAATAATTATATATTTCTCAAATTACTTATTAAAAGATTTTCATGTTTACAGCTCCCCACACATCTGTGACAACCAGCTTATCAGAGACAACCACCCCCGGTTTTCCCAAATGCCAACAGAGTAAATGGTCGGAATGGATCAACCACAATCATGCAAATAATTCGGGAGATGAAGAAGAGCAGTTAAGCCAACGGGAAAGGCAAAAACTTTGTACTGGTGGTACCATCACTGGTATTGAATGCAGAGAAGTAGACACTCAAACCCCATTTGATCAAAGCGTTTCAATCGCTACCTGTGACGTAAAACATGGCCTCCAATGTAAACACTCCGACAATATCATTCTTGGCTGTTTGAATTTTGAAATGAGACTCTACTGTAAATGTCAACGTAAGTATTCATATAATGTTCTTTACAATATTTTAATGTGAACAAATTGTAATGGGTTAACCAATCTGTATCGGTAACAAATACAAATTAAACTGACCCTCTAATATTTTTACTAAATCAAATGAAAACAAAGACAACATCAACAAGAGAAATAATCAAATAGGCAGATATTTGTTTTAACAGAAAATATTTTTATGCAACAAGTACCCACGATATAATAAAGTTGTATAAAACACTTTAGAGTTCTTGGTTATATGTTCAAGGGCAATATAAAAGGTGTTATGCTATAGATCTGGTAAGGAATTAGACAGTTTATGTTGATGGTGAAATTGAATGAAATAGATTGCTTGACTTACTGTAGAGTTATCTCGCTTTGACTGATATAGTTACAATTTCCTTTATGTACTTAAGATATTGAGTGAGTTTGTTTTGGTCTTGTCTTGATGTTAACTTTTAGCGAGGAAGTTGGGTTTCATGGATTCGTGTGACCAGTTGTTTATTTTAAGGACTCACTAAGTTGTGTCGAAGTTTCATATTTATGAGTTTTCTTGATCGTGTGGGGACTCGAGTGAATATCTATCAATTTTTGGCGCGTTGAACACTAAACAGGTCAACTCGAGGTCAACCGTGCGGGCGTCGGCAGAAACTTGGCATTATTATTTATGGACCAATCAGAAAGCATTGTTTCATACTTAACTCTGGAACTGATTTTAATAGGTTCAGCACAAACTGAGAATACTTATCTCTAATCATCTTTTAACAGGTTTAAAACTGAGAATATAGAAATCTAATTCTACAGAATTTAGATATTTTCATTTTTTTAATATCATCAGGATATTTACTCTTATCTATAGTTATTCAATTTACCTATAATGAATCAAGTACCTATTAGAGATTAATGCAAATATTATTAGCTATAATAAAACACTTGCATCGCTTTGATGTTTTATTAATCTAACAACGCAGAATTCTTTCCGGAATATTTCTGTAATCGTAAAAGTTATTGTTGTGTCGTGGCACAATAGTAAAAATAAGAAAATCAAGTCGAAGTTGGTTTAAGGAACAAGTGTATTTAACATCACAGATACAAAGGTAGGAAACGGATACTACTCAGCTAGGCAGTTGTAGTACTGTCGCTGCTTACACCGGGTAGGTATTACTGGCACTATATAGAGTGAGAACCGGTGTAATTCCCTTGTGTTAGAGGCCGGTGCAACATCCCCCTTTGAAAATATCCCGTCTGGGAATTAATAACGTTTTTGTTTTGGGTTCACCCTAATCAACTCCGTTGCTTTCCGTTTTCTTTCTGACCTCCTATTCTCAGGAGCTGTCTCTGGTATGGGCACCTGAAAAGTATCAAACACTGTGTCCATGATGTCCTCCTCGGGCGATCTCGTCACCTCACTGTTCGAGTATCTTTTCCGGATTTGGTTAGTGTGACGTTTGTGCACGAAATCTGGTCCCTTAATCATATAGACCATGTTGCCTATTTGTTTCTCAATAGTGCCGGACTCTCAAAAGGTCCTATTTTTTCTATGCATCTTGTAGAAAACTCTTTCGCCAACTTTATACCGTTTTTTTGTTATTGGTTTTTTGAGGTTTGGCCTATCCTGGTTTGGTAACAACTTGTGGAAAATTGATCTAACCTTGTGTCCGAACATGACCTCAGCAGGTGTCTTCGACTTTTCGATGTTTGAATTCGAAGTGACCCTGTAAACTTGTAAGAACTGTTGGATTGACTTATCCGTCGGTGATCCACTAGCCTTTCTCAGGGCTCTCTTGAACGTATCCGCGAATCTCTCCGCTTGCCCATTGCTTCTTGGATGGTATGGTGGAATGGTTATATGCTCGATTAGATAATCCTCGCAGAGATGTTTAAATTCGGTAGACGTGAATTGCGTTCCATTGTCTGTGACAATGCAGTTTACAACTCCAAACCTAGCGAATAGTTCATACAGGAAGTTAATAGCTGCCTCGGATGTGGGGTTCTTGCATTTCCGTACTTCCGGCCACTTAGATAGACTGTCTATAACAATGAGATAGTAGAAACCATCTAACGGTCCAGCAAAATCCAAGTGAATTCTCGACCAAGGTCGGTCCGGTTTTGCCCACGATCCGAATTGAGTCGGAGGAGCTTTCATAGCTAATGCGCATCCTCTACACTCCCTGATTTTTTCTTCTATATCCTTATCCATGTTTGGCCAGAAAACGAAAGAGCGCATAAGGCTTTTCATTCTTGATATGCCTGGATGTCCTACATGGAATTCCTTGAGCATTCTTTTCTGTAATGTCGTAGGAATTACGACCCTGTCGCTATATAACAGGACGTTATCACAAATTGAATAAATTTCCTCATCCAGTTGGTTACTGTTCATTTTTTCTTTCGTGCTTATAATAAATTCGTCCTCCTCTGCCTTACTCTTAATCTCATCAAGCGTTACTGGAAGTTCTCTTATCGTGTCACATAAAGTATTTTTTACTTCAACATCCGCTTGAATGGCTGCTATTACCATATACTCCAATGGTTCTGTGTGCTTAGGTATTAACCTTGATAAGCCATCTGCATGACCAAGTTTTTTAGATGGTACATACTCCATTTGAAAATTATAATTCAGAAGAATGGTACCCCATCTTTGGAGTCTATTCGCCGTATGTTGTGGTAGTCTCGTTTCGATCCAAAAATCGTTAGTAAAGGTTTGTGATCTGTTTGTAACAGAAATTGTCTACCGTGCAAGAAACGATGAAATTTCTTTACTGCGAATATAATGCTTAGCGCCTCTTTCTCAATTTGCGAGTAGTTCTTTTCGGCTGGTAAAAGTGAACGGGATGCATGGGCTATGGGTTTTATTTTTCCATCATCCATTTTGTGTAGTATGCATGTTCCTATGCCATAGGCACTGGCATCGCTTGCAACTATAATATCACGTTTGGGATTATAATGTGCCAGAAACAAGCCAGACGTTAATATATCTTTAATTTCCTGAAATGCTTCTTCGCACTCTTGCGTCCAAACCCATTTTTGGTCCTTCCTTAACAATTCATTTAAGGGTGATCTTAGTTTATGCATATTTGGCACGAATACATTGTAATAATTTGCCAACCCTAAGAAACTTTGTAGAGACGCAATATTTTCTGGAGCAGGCATGTCCCTTATTGCACTCGATCTATCTGGATCCGGCCTTCTTCCATGTTCATTGATAATTTGCCCCAAGTATTTTATTTTTTCCATGAAAAGGGTACATTTTTCATGTTTCAGTTTAAATCCATAATCCTGGATCCTTTTGAATACTTGGTTTACATGAGCTTTGTGTTGTTCTTTGTTAGCGCTGTTCATTAACACATCGTCCAGGTACACTACTGCGAAGTCCAGCCCACTTAACATCATGTCCATTGTTTGCTGAAAAATCGCTGGGGCGACTTTGACCCCAAAAGAAAGCCTGTTAAACTTGTATAATCCCTTATGGGTATTGATGCATAGCAGCTTTGAACACTCCTGATCGACTGGGATTTGTAAATACGCGTCACTGAGGTCGATTTTAGAAAAATATTTCCCTCCACTCAGTTTCTCGAATATTTCTTGAGGGCTCGGAAGGGGATAATGGTGATCCTTTAATGCATTGTTTAAACCTGTTGAGAAATCAGCACAAACCCTAATCTCCTTGCTCTTCTTTTTGATGTAAACTGTTGGTGTAGCCCACTCACTGTGATCAATTTTTTCGAGGACACCCATGTTTTCGAGTCTTTCTAATTCACCGTCTATTTGTTCTATAGCGGCGTATGGAACCTTTCTTTTCTTTTTGAACACTGGCTGTTCATTTTCTTTGACTTCAAATTTTTCAAATGAACCTCTTTTTTTTTTCGAAACCCTTGGTGTCAGTATTTTCAACTATAATTGACAATATTATTCAGGTTCTCACGCTGTAGACTTTTGGTAGCAAATTTTTGGTTGTTTCTAATTTTTTTTTTTTACGTCGCCAAATTACTATTCTAGTAATTAATTTGCTATTAATCCTTGCGTATCCACATATCTGTTCGAAATGACGAAGGTGTTTTGCCGTAAACATCTGGCGAATCCTTGTATTTCAATCACTTTAGGTGATTGTCTACAGTGATATCGTTTCGATTCCGACGTCTCCAATCTGTTGTGTCGTGGCACAATAGTAAAAATAAGAAAATCAAGTCGAAGTTGGTTTAAGGAACAAGTGTATTTAACATCACAGATACAAAGGTAGAAAACGGGTACTACTCAGCTAGGCAGTTGTAGTACTGTCGCTGCTTACACCGGGTAGGTATTACTGGCACTATATATAGTGAGAACCGTTGTAATTCCCTTGTGTTAGAGGCCGATGCAGTTATGTAAACTAACTCTTGAATATTTCCTTATTTACAGTATCCGACTCAGAATTAAAGACAATTCCTGTGAAATTATGTAAATTAACTCTTGAATAATATCGATATTTGCAGCATCATTAAAGACAACTCCGATAACTTCGGTAACAAAGACAACCACTCCCGGTTTTCCCAAATGCCAACAGAGTAAATGGTCGGAATGGATCAACCACAATCATGCGAATAATTCGGGAGATGAAGAAGAGCAGTTAAGCCAACGGGAAAGGCAAAAACTTTGTACTGGTGGCACCATCACCGACATTGAATGCAGAGAAGTAAACACTCAAACCCCATTTGATCAAAGCGTTTCAATGGCTACCTGTGACGTAAAACATGGCCTTCAATGTAAACACTCCGACAATATGATTCTTGGCTGTTTGGATTTTGAAATGAGACTCTACTGTAAATGTCAACGTAAGTAATCATATGATGTTCTTTACAATATTTTACAATTAATACATTTGCATGCACATCTTCATTTTTTAGTCACTATCGATTTTTTTTGCATGCTAGCATGTTAGTTAACATTCGTGTCAGTCAGCTGTTGGCTCTCACGCTGGCCAATATAATCTTCTTGCCTATTCGTGGCAGCCAGCTATCGGCTCTCACTCTGTCCAGTACAAAATGGCTGCAAACTACATGAAAACTGCCGTAGAAGCATGAATAAATCGATTATTTCTACTATCGGTAGGAGTTGGGAAATGCAAAAGCCGGTCTTGGCCTTCCCGCTAACTTGGCCATGCATTCGTTTCACACACACACACACACACACACACACACACACACACACCACACACACACACACACACACACATCCTGTCTTTTATACATATATATATGTGTGTGTGTGTGTGTGTGTGTGTGTGTGTGTAATCGTTATTAGAATGTTTCCGAGTCTGTCAAAGCTAACTGTTATACAGCTTACTAAGTCAATCTGCTCTCTACTCTTCACTTATCACACATTGTTTTATAACGTTTTGTTGTAATGGTTCTGCGATCTTTACAATTATTGACTAATTCGAGTAATGAGCTGCTTCGAAATCCTCGTCAAATTTGTTGCAATCTGTTTAGATTTTGAAATCACGGTGTCTACTGTAAATTTCAACGTAAGTCTTCAAATGTTCTTTACAATGTTTTACTATAAAGAAATATCTGTACTTGTTTGTTTTAATCTATCAGTAACTGGCGTGAGAAAACAATGCCAAGACATGGAACGAAATACAGAAAACTGCACAATGAAATATGGAATGAATGCAGGCTGGCTAAAAAAGAATGGCTCCACGAAAATGTACAGAAATAGAGAGAATGTGTATCAGAGATAACAGAACAAAATACATGCTCATCAACAGACTGCATAAAATCTAAGGACAGAGCGCTCTTACACGACGAAAGAGAACAACCGGCAATACAAAGATCTACCGGCGGGCCTGAAATTCTAAAAACCGAAGTAGAAGCCGCACTGGTCCAAATGAACAGAAACAACGCGGCAGGGCCAGACGGAATTGTAATAGAGGTAATGGCAGTCTTAAACGATTTAGACATAGACAACATTACAGAAATAATAAATGAAATCTACAACAGTGAGGATATACTGGAAAACCTAAGCAGATCTATTTTCATATCACTGCCTAAGAAACCAGTCATTAACGAATGTGAAGTTCACCGAACAATCAAACTAATGAGCTGATTACATTTTGCCAAAAAAAGACATCCGATTTAACGTTTGACGAAGCAGTTACATGCCTTACGGAGTTCTTCAGTCCAAAGACGTCACTTTTTCACAAAAGGTAGAAATGTGTTAACCTCGTAAAAGGCGAAAATGAGGACTACTCCACGTTCGCTGCAATCGTGAACAAACATTGCGACGACTTGAAATTGGCAGAATTAACTCCGGACAATTTCAAGTGTCTTTCAAAACTTCAAAATGAGCCTGGATTAACACTACAAAAATTGTCAGAAGACTGCCAAAAATGTTGGAGCATAAAGAAAGAGTCGAAGGATATCGAGGATCAGGAGTAGCACACATACGTAAGTTGAACAAATGTTTACGATTTTCACCCTCCCCGGAAAGAAAACAAAAACGCTATAATAGTGGAAAAAGTACAACGTTCAGAAAAACTAATTACAGAAATCAAGGGAAATATAACCCCCCCCCCCATCTGCATGTTATCGATGTGGAGGATTACACTGGAATAAGCGTGTGGAAAAATGGGTCACTAGGCATCCCAATGTAGGAACAAAAAACCTACTAGTAGGATAAGAGCTACTAGAATGCATGACGAAGACAATATTAACATAAGAAAATACGTGGAACTTGAAATTTTAAATAAGAAGATAAAATTACAACTAAATTGCTAAGTCTGTTACAGTGAAGCGGATAAAATTCGAAGGAGAAGTAATCCTAAATGTAAAATTCCACGGGAAAACAACAAAACTCAAAATATTCGTAATGAAGGATACAGAAAATCTGGTGGGAACGGACTGGATGCAGAAGTTCGACGTATGGGATTTACCTATCAGCATATTTTGTCAAAAAATAGAGCGCAAATCGTCAGAAACTACAAAATTAAACGAAGAATTACATAGTCAATTCCCCGAAGTATTCTCGAGTGGGTTGGGACGATGTAACAAGTTTGCAGCTAGAATTAAATTAAAAGAAAATGTCCAACCAGTATTTAAAAAGAAGCGTAACGTGCCGTTTGCTACCATAGAAAAAATCGATAAAGAATTTGTACAAACTGGAATCCTTTCAAAAGTCGAGTTCAGTGAATGGGCGGCACCAGTAGTCTACGTAAAGAAGAAATCCGGAGAAATCCGTGTTTACGCAGATTTCTCGACTGGGTTAAATAAGGCTATAAAAGACTATCACTACACATTACCAAGCCGGGAGGAAATATTTACCAAGCTTAACGGTGGTAGGGTATTTTCTAAAATACATTGAAGCGAAGCTTATCTTCAGATTCCAGTAGAAGAAGAAAGTACAAAAATTCTATGTATTAATACGCACAAAGGACTGTACAAATTCAACAGATTACCATTTAGGGTAAAAGTAGCACCATCAATCTTCCAACAGACGATGGATACAATGCTCACTGTCCAGAACTTTGCTACCGCTTACTTGGACGACATTCTAATCAAAAGCGACAATGTTGAAGAACACACATCGCACATAAAGGAAGTTTTTAAAAGACTTCAGGATTTTGAGTTTAAAGTAAAGGCGAAAAAATGTGATTTTTTCCTAAATGAAATCAAATACTTAGGCCATATAATTAATGAAAGTGGCAGAAAACCAGACCCAGATAGGGCATCTGCAATAAAAAAAATATACCTGAGCCGAAAAATGTCGCAGAATTACAAAGTTTTCTTGGTCTAGCGAACTATTACGGTGAATTCATCGAAAATATGCACAAATTGAGGGCTCCCCTCAATGAATTATTGAAAAAAGAGAACAAATGGAATTGGACGGAAGACTGTCAGAAAGCGTTTAAGGAGATAATACAAAAATTAACTTCTGAGCTAGCACTGACGCATTTTAACCCCAAACTAGAAATCATCATTGCTAGTGATGCAAGTTTACACAGAGTAGAAGTTTGCATACAACACAAGATGCAGGATGGCACAAAGAAATCCATAGCTCATGCATTTTGATCATTGTTACCAGCAGAGAGGAATTGTTCGCTAATTGAAAAGGAAGCGTTAGGTATAATATTCGCCATAAATCGCTTTCACGGATATATTTATAGAAGAGAGTTTACTCTTCAAACGGACCATAAACCTCTTACGATTTTTGGATCGAAAAAAGGACTACCAATTTACACAGCCAACAGACTTCTAAGATGGGGAACCATTTTATTGAATTGCAATTTCAAACTTGAGTTTCTACCGTCGAAGAAAATTGGGCATGCTGATGGATTGTCGCGATTGGTGCCTGCGAAATGCGAGCCTCTGGAAGACTCTGTAATAGCGGCGTTGCGAGCCGAAGACGAAAACAGAAAAGGAACTACCTGTGACCTTGCTAGAGATAAGACGAGAAACAGAAAAAGTTCAATTTGTGATCACATATTACTGTATAATGAAAGGGTGGTCATACTAAAATCGTTACAAAGGCGGATTTTGAAGGACTTTCATTTAGGACATCCAGGAAAAAACCGTATGAAAGCATTAATGAGGAGTTTCGTTTACTGGCCAAATATGGATGATGATATTACGCAAATAGTGGAAAGATGTAAAGGCTGTGCTGCTGCAGCAAAGGCACCACCTACTATACAAAAACCATGGCCTAAGGTGGACAGACTCTGGTCTAGAATTCATGCGGACTATGCAGGACCCATAGAGGGGTACTACTACTTAATAAAGGTAGATAGTTTTAGCAAGTGGCCAGAAGTTTTCAGATTCAAAAACCCGACGACGGAAAATACTATAAATTGTCTACATGAATTATTCGTGAGATTCGGCGTCGGGGATTGCTTGGTAACTGATAATGGTACATTATTCACCTCCAGCGAATTCCAAGAATTCTGTGCAACGTATCAAGTAAAGCATATTAAGATAGATCCGTACCATCCATGATCTAACGGGCAAGCCGAAAGATTTGTAGACACGCTAAAGAGAGCTTTGAAAAAAGCAGAGGACATACCGACAGAAAGAGCTATACAACAGTTCATCCAAGTATGCAGACTAACCCCGAACGGGAACACACCATCTGGTCTTTCACCAGCGGAAGTGATGTTTGCCCGCAAAATACGGTCTATGTTTGATAAGTTATTGCCTAACAAAAATAAAAACCGGCATATACCTATAGTACTCAAGAGATCGTTCAAACCAGGCGAATGGGTTTATTTCAGAATTAGGAACAATATGGCTTACTGGGAACCAGGGACAATAAATAACAGACTAGGAAATTTGATGTACACAATACAAGGCGAAAAATTTACCCACAGTAAACATATTGACCAAATACAAAAAAGACGGGTTGAAGAGCCAAGCTCGTCACTCGCTGAAAATGATGATTCGATGGAGGCGATCTTTGAAGCTTTTGAGATTCAAAGACCACAAGAAGAGACAGAAATTAGAAGGACTAGCAGGAAAAGACAAATTTACAGAATCTCTAATCATCATTTTCCATAAGAGGAAAAAATATTAACTCCCCCCAAAAAGGAATCTAAAGAGGTGGGTGTTGAGGGGTTCTTCCCTTTTTACACAAATGGACTCACCCAGGGTATACATATACTACTGCTAGTGAATACCCGGGAGAAGAACGAGAAAGAGCGACGAACGAGCACGAACGTAACGAGCAAGAGTCACGGTGAGCAAGCACGTAGACTCAGTAAGAAGTCATACAGTGATACGTCGATACCAAAGATTGTATATATATTTTGCTACTAACCCGCATTGCTGGAACTACTAACACGCATTGCTGGAACTACTAACCTGCATTACCAGTTTGTATTCTTACATTAATACATTTATTTTCCTATATTCCTTCTTGGCGTTTGTTATTTATTTGTAACGGATTTCATCCCGGAATCCACAACACTAAACATAAACTAACAGAAGACATAACGAATGGTCATCAGCAAAAAGATGATTCCAAAATGAAAATTACAGTTCGGAAACATTAAAATCAAGCAGGTACAGAAATTTAAACATCTGGGAAGTGTTCTAACAGGGGATGGAAAATGTGACACTGAGATTGGAAGACGTATCGGGATGGCCAAAGACGCATTCCAAAAGCTAAGCAGAGTATTAAGAGACAGGAAAATTTCGTTGGAAAAAAAGAAAAGAGTACGTGATATCTGTTCTCCTGTATAGCACCAAATTATGAATAATCTCTTCAAAGATGAAGAAGAGTCTCGAAGCAACAGAAATGTGGGTCTATAGAAGGATGCTAAGGATACTGTGGGCCAAACATGTGAGCAACGACGAGGTTTTCGAGAGAATGGAAAGGAAGAGACAACCTATACTTAACATCAGGAAGAGGCAGTTGAAATTTCTGGAACACGTAATGAGGAAGGACGGCTTGGAAAGTCTAATATTCACAGGATGGAAAGAGGGACAGGGGAAAGCAACTTAATGAACTTGAATGGCAGAACAGGGTCTGGGAGTGTTGTAGAGTAGTTTCACTGTGAAGGCTTGTATTTCACTAAGTCGATCCTAAAGGGTCCGACGTAAAAAACGTTAGGAACTTGAAATGATAGTTAATGACGCAGCAATCTAGTTGTGGTGGTTGATATTTTAATGTCCGACATCGACTGACTCACTCAACTCCACTGAGCCCAACTGGCGACCGCTACTACTACTACTACTTATTATGTGTAGGAGAGTCTATTACTATAGAATAGATAATGTTCCGGCATAACAGGGAGAAATAACAAAAAGACAAAATTTATTAAGAGCTACAAGGAACAGGAGGATGTGGAGGGCCATGATCACCTACGTCCTGAAGGAACATGAGAAATATTACGCCTTGATCCATTATACTTGCAATACAGATAAATTTATTTTAACATATCTTGTCTCTTTTTCTTTCCCTGTCATCGGCAATAGGTCATTGTATTCGCTTGTTACTGGAACAACCTCCTTATTCACCTGATCTTGTTCCGTGTGACTATTTTCTTCTCTCCAACCTCAAGAGAATCATCAGGGGACCCGTTTTGAAGGCGTGGAGGCCATCAAGACGGCCTAAACGACAACGTTAAGTGGGTATCCAAGAAAAATCCTTCCAGCATTGGCAGAGAAGTAGAGAAAAGTACATTAGACTTAAGGGAAATTACTTTGAATGAGAAAGCATTTGATTTGTCGTTTGGAATTGAAATAAATTGTTTGTGACACCAGTCCCGTTACTTTTCAGACGAACCTCATATACACACACACACACACACACACACACACACATTTATGTGTGTGTGTGTGTGTGTGTGTGTGTGTGTGTGTGTGTGTGTGTGTGTGTGTGTGTGTGTGTGTGTGTGCAAATATATAGAAAAATAGGAAAGAACTGTTAGGTTAATAATCCGAAGTACTTTAGCATTTTTATTTTATTTATTAAAAAAAACAGTGCTCAATTCACAAGTAGAGCCTATATTATAATTATTTTTTTAAAAATATGATTCCATCGTTACATAAGAGTTCTCATGTTTCAAAAACAGAAGCTAAAAAACTTCAACTTAATTATAGAAATTAAATTAAATTAAAATACCTAGTTCTGTTTCATCCTCAAGCGAATTTTGGAATAACAAATTCTGAATTCTATGTAGCTTATACATTCGTAATATTAATTTCTATGGAAACGGAGAAAACCAGTCATTATAATAAGGGGCGGTAGTGTTTACATTTTCACTGACAACTATTGTATCAACATATTAGTTACTTTCGGAAAGACGTTAAGTCAAGGTAGGGTCGGAGTGCCTATATTCAAACGAATGATGTCATCCGTTCAACGCATATCGTCTGGTCTAATTCATTGATAGAGTATCAACAACAATCCTGATTGTATCCTAATACTGTTCGATATTGTGCATTATTACCAGTCACTATCAAAATATCTATTCACGACTGCTCTAGAGTTTGCTGTTGTACATTCAGATCTAACAGAAGAAGAAATGAATATAATTCGTAATGGAAAAATCTGCCCTCATTCATAATAAGGACCAATGGATTAAAAACACTGAAGACCATTTTGACATTACCATGGGATCTTTAGACTCTGTAGAGTCTTCTGACCTTGTCGGTCTATTTATAATATACAACCTAACCGCGCACCGTGAATTAGACATTAAGAACATCGAGCTATACAGGGATGACGGGCTTATGGTAGTGAGGAGTTCAACAAATTTTAAATCAGATAATATTAGAAAGATAACACATAGTGAATTCAGAAAACTAAATTTAAAAATTACAGTTAACACAAAACTGAAAAGGGTAAACTTCCTCGACATAACTTTAGACTTAATGAACAACATTTGAACAACATATATACCTTACAGAAAACCTAACACTAACCCCTTGTATGTACACCCCAAGTCAAACCATCCTCCATCCACAATTAAGCATATCCCTCATCAATAGAGAAAAGAATCAGCATGAACTCCGCAAATGAAGAAATATTCCAAAAACACGGTAATTTTTACAACATAGCTCTGAAAAATAGTGGATACAAAAACGCTAACATCAATTATAAAAACAATAGTACTAACCAGAAGAAAAACAGAAAAAGAAAAATCATTTGGTATACCCCGCCCCGTTCAATTAAATTGTTAATATTAAGCTAACAAAAATTCCTAGCTTTTATTGAAAAACACTTTCCTACTGATAGAAAACCTAGCAAGAACTTTAATAAAAACACCTTAAAATTAAGTTACAGTTGCACTGAACATCTACAAAGAATCATAAAAAAACATAATAACAAAATCCGGGAAAAACACGCCAAAATCAAATTAATAAAAACCCTAAATTAAAATTAGACAAAAATAATGAAAAATTATGTGATTGTAGAAACCCTGAAGACTTCCCGTTGGATAATAAATGCCGCATAGAATCTGTGGTATACCAATGCACAATCTCATCCATCGAGAATCTAAAACATTGAAATGATATATATAGGATCCACGAAGAATGAATTTAAAACTAGTTGATGTTGATTGAGTGTTGGCTTCTTTTTATTCTTACTGATTCTATTAATTTTAGTTTTTCTTTTTTTTTTTTTTTTTTTTTTTTTTTTTTTTTTGTTTTTTTTTTGCATGTAGCTGAGGTTATAATAATTGTATTTTCTACAAGTCTGTTGCGATTGAAGTTTGGTAGGTATCAGTCTGTGCACACACACACACACACACACACACAAACACACACACACATACACACACACACACATATATATATATATATATATATATATATATTGTGATGTAGGACAATATTTCATTTGTATAATACTGAACAAAATGTTTCTTTTGTAACCAGTTTAAAATCGTTGCAACCATCTTGTGAATTTTGATTTCACTCATCCAGACGCTGTATCTTCGAATTAATCATATATTCTAGTTTTTAATTGATTGTCTTAATGAAAATCACCAAAAAGTGTCGATCTCAGTTCTGTGTTAAGAAAGATAAAAATAAAATTCTCGGTCGGTAAAAACATGAAAATATGAAATTCCTGGAAGGACATTCAATAGTAAAACGATCAATATATAGATCAATAACGTTAATGTCGAAAATTTTGAAATTGTCCTTTTTTAAGTTTATTTCAAAATCAGAACGAAATAACTCCAGTTACCAAATGATTATATATTTCTCAAATTACTTATTAAAAGATTTTCATGTTTACAGCTCCCCACACATCTGTGACAACCAGCTTATCAGAGACAACCACTCCCGGTTTTCCCAAATGCCAACAGAGTAAATGGTCGGAATGGATCAACCACAATCATGCAAATAATTCGGGAAATGAAGAAGAGCAGTTAAGTCAACGGGAAAGGCAAAAACTTTGTACTGGTGGTACCATCACTGATATTGAATGCAGAGAAGTAAACACTCAAACTCCATTTGATCAAAGCGTTTCAATCGCTACCTGTGACGTAAATCATGGCCTTCAATGTAAACACTCCGACAATATGATTCTTGGCTGTTTGGATTTTGAAATGAGACTCTACTGTAAATGTCAACGTAAGTAATCATATGATGTTCTTTACAATATTTTACAATTAATACATTTGTATGCACATCTTCATTTTTCAGTCACTGATGTGAGCATATTATTAGATTTTATACAATTTTTTCATTAAGACGAACGTATGATTTCGTCCTTCGTCGATGCACACACACCAAAGGCTTATGGGGATTTTTTAAGCGTAGCTCAGGTGTGACACAAGGGCACCCAGTGACGATTGAATTCAGTATTCAGTTGTAATTAATCTCGCGAGAAATACTTGCTAACCATTACACCACCTCGAAGTGCCCGCTCAAATGCCTCTTCGTGTGTTTGTGCATCTGTGTATTTTCATATTTGCTCGAAGAAATTTCATATATATATATATATATATATATATATATATATATATATATATATATATACCATTATAAAATAATTATCACTCTTGTCTTATACTAACCTCTACAGTAGCAGGAATATAAGGAGTTTAAACTGATATGTCAAACTATTTAATTTCATGTATATTACATATAAGATTAACTAGTACTAGTAGCCAGCATTATTATTTTACCATATATATATATATATATATATATATATATATATATATATATTGTGTATTTAGGCAGCATATTTTCATTTATACGTTTCATTAAATAATATAGACAACACTTGTCTATATTATTTAATGAAACGTGTATAAATATATATATATATATATATATATATATATATACGTATTATTAGAATGTTTCCGAGTCTGTCAAAGCTAACTGTTATACAGCTTACTAAGTCAATCTGCTCTCTACTCTTCACTTATCACACATTGTTTTATAACGTTTTGTTGAAACGGTTCTGCGATCTTTACAATTATTGACTAATTCGAGTAATGAGCTGTTTAGAAATTATTATTATTATTATTATTATAAAATAATTAACGCTCTAGTTTTATCTTGAGCAATTTAGTAGTAGAAATTCTAAGATTGATATGTGAAACTATTTAATTTGATGCTTATTACATACAATATTAACTAGTACTAGCAATTAGCATTTTTATCTTATATACAGTCAACGACGAAATTATTTGTAGACCCATCAATTTTTAATATTTTTATCCATTTCTCAGAATCTAATACCCGTATGATTCCAGATTTTTTATATATTAATAATCACAAAACAGTGAATATAAAACTCAATTTTCAGAACAATAGGTTGAATCTAACAAATTTGACAAGCGAATTTTGGAAAAATAGAAAAAGACAAAATTATTCGTGCAGTAGAAAATATCGTTTTAAATTGATTGATTCGTTTAAGTATAAGTGATTTGCATAATTATTTTATCGAATATTAGAATATTATTTAGAGTATTTGTGATAATTCCAGTAAAAAACATCACGTGGTGCATAGAGTGTCACTATTGTTATTCGTACGTTAACACCACTATGGGGAAGACAAAGGAGCTAAGCGTTGACTTGAGGCGAAGAATTTAACTTCCACAAGTCGGGAAATAGTTACAGCACTTTTTCAAACCAGTTAGATATCCCTAGATCTACGGTATAGTCCGTTATAAAGCAGTTTAAACAGTTTGGCACGAGAGAGAATTTGCTTGGTCGTGGAAGAAAACCCAAGGTGCCACCGAGAACTACACGAAAACTCTGTCGCGAGTTTAATATAAACCCAAGAGTTGTTTTGAAAGACATTGCCAAAAGTTTGGATACGATGGGTATCAGCCTAAGTACTCGCACAATACAATATTGTTTAAATAGAAATGGGTTGTATGGAAACTGACCACGACGAACCCCTCTTCACAAAATATGTCACATTGTTATTCGGTTTAATTTTGCCAAAACGTTCTTGGACAAAGAAAATTGCTTTTGGGAACAAGTAATATGGAGTGAGGAAAAAAACTGAGCATTTTGGACATAATGATGTACAGAAAATTTTGAGCAAAAAGGTGATGCTTTTCTCCCAAAGAACACAGTGGCAACATTAAAAAATGGAGGTGATTCGATGATGTCTTGAGGTTATTTTAGCTCAAGGAGGACTGGACAATTAATTACAATCAGATAATGAAATCTGAAGACTATATCAAAATACTGAATGAAAATCAGTGCAAAATCTTCATCTAAGTCGGCAATTTACTTTCCAGCAAGATAATGATCCGAAACATAAATCTAAAACAGTGACTGCATGACTTCAGAAAAAGAAGATTAATGTTCTGCCCTGGCCTTCAATGAGTCCTGACTTGAATCCCATTAAATATCTATGGCAAAATTGAAAGTTTGAATAAATCGTCGGTCACCAAAAAACCTTCAGGAATAAGAACGTGTAACCAGTGAAGAATGGAAAAAAATCCCAGAAAAGACTTGTTCAAATCTCAGTAAAAACTTTAGAAAACGATTGCAGTAAGTTATAAAGATGAGAGCCATGCTTTTGATTATTAATATTGTAAAAATTGTTCAGTTTTTTCTATTTTTCACACTGTACGAATAATTTTGTCATTTCCTAGTTTTCATAATTTGCCTGTCAAATTTGTTGTATTTAAACTATTGTTCAAACAATTGAGTTTTATATTCCTTCTTTTGTACTTATTAACATATGAAAAAACCTGGCATCATACGGACATTAGATTCTGAGAAATGAATAAAAATATTCAAAATTGATGGGTATGCGAATAATTTCGTCGTTGATTCTCTCTCTCTCTCTCTCTCTCTCTCTCTCTCTCTCTCTCTCTCTCTCTCTCTCTCTCTCTCTCTCTCTCTATATATATATATATATATATATGAAGAAATATAGTCTTAAGGTGTGCTATATTTATGGGATAAAGTGCTCGATATCAGAGATAGAGCGTGTGTAAATATAAAAGTCAACATGATGATTACATATAGCATGAAACAGTCTGTTTCATGCTATATGCAATCGTCAGGCCTTGACTATATGTTCACTTTTATATATATATATATATATATATATATATATATATATATATATATATCAATCGTGTGATTGTAAACTTTCAGGGATTGTATGTGCTTTAAATGAGCTATTCAGCACAAATATACGTACAATTAACGCTAATTGGTATCCAGTTTACTGAGTTAGTATGCTAAAAGACTTTATGTCATCTACTCCCGTTCATTTATCAGGTATCGTTTCGTAACATTTTATTGTAACGATTCTGCGATCTTTACAGTGATTGACAAATTCGAGTAAAGAGCGAGCTTGATTTAGAAATGACTGTTTTTGGAAATTTTGAAATAACTATCTGCTGTCAATGTGAACGTAATGTCCTTTACGATGTTGCATTATTAAGAAATATCTTTACTTGCTCGCCTTAATCTATCAGCAACTGGGGGGGGGGATAATATTCATATTTTTTCATGTGTTAGTTTTAGTAAATTGAACTTATGTATTCGTCCTTTGTCTGTGCACATATCTCAAAGGCTTATGTGTGTGTTTGTGCATTTATGCGCATTCTTATGTGTGTAAATATATAACATGCACGCACACACACGCGCGCACATACGCACACACACACACACATATTAATGTGTATAAATCGAATAACTAGATATTAGCAAACGTATATACGTGCGTTAGGGTGCATATATATATATATATATATATATATATATTAAAAAGAAGGGGGTGCCGCAAACGTTTTTGGTTGTAATGTGGATTTATTGAGAAAAAATATTATACTTTGTTTTACATAATTTCACGACACGTGTTTCTGGTCTCGCAACCGTCTTCAGGTGAAAGTGGAGATTTCTACATATTATTAAAAATAATTAATTTTTCTTCATGTTCAATGTGGAATATTCTCGATATGAGACATTCTGTTTGTGTGTTGGCAATCCGAATTTTCTTTTCTAGAATTGTCAATGAAGAGTTCTGCGCGAAGGGTCATAAAACAATTAAGGTTTGTCCAGCGAGTAGTTATCGGCATTTAATCTTTTAATGTTTTAGTGACCTCTATGTGCTCTTGGATCTGTTTCTATTTTGGTGTGTTCCTGTCAGCATGCATGTATATATGCGTGCGTATATTTCCTTACTACGAGGAATTCGTAAACTTATTTGTACTTATACACGCATACACACACATACGCACATACACACTATCCCACCACAAGTAGTCAGTACACACACACATATACACACATATTTCCCAAGCTACATGGAACCAGTACACACACACACACACACACACACACACACACGCACACACACACACACACACGTACTTCTTAAGTTGTCAACATCCGCATATACATACATAAATGTATGTATGTGTACATACACATATATATATCTCCTCGTGTCTCCCGTATATGAGTGTGCGTCCATGTATGTGAGCGATTTGATCATTGTATTTGGTCACCCTGTGTGCATGTTTTTTTTTTGCGGGGTGGGTTACGATCTATTCAGTTCGGGTTTGAATTTGTCTATAAAGTTTTTTTCCTGTATTTGTAGATACGAGTAATTGTCTGTTTGATATATCGGCATGATATTAAACTTACCCTGGTTACATTTGAAAATGTGCTGTGATACAAAAAGTTTTCTGTTGTCTGTCAATTTTATATTGCTTTTGTGTAGGGAGACCCTGTTGTTCAGTTGTTGGCTGATGCCTATATATGACTTCTTACATTTTGTGCATTTAAGTGCATAAATTACATTTTTGGAGTTGCAGTTTAAGTTTTTGTTTATTGTGAAAGTTTTTTCTTTTCAAATACAAATATAACTTGAAATTTAAACATAATCGCTTTTCAAAATTAAATTTCCCAAAGTACCTTGCTTCTAATCGCTTTCAAAATAGTTCGTAATTAAATTCATTTACAGAGAAATGTTTGCTTCTTTAATGTAATGTTTAAAAATCAAACTTTATTTACTTAAAAAATTTAAATTCCCCTCCAAAATAAATAGTAAATAATTCTTTTTCGAAGAGGTAAGACTCGCTATAGTTTTTGCGTGAAAAAGATTATTAAATTAAATGTTTAAATATAACTTAATTTATGTTTACTT